GAGCCTTATAGAGATAAATATTTTGAACTGTGTTCTCAAATCGAAAAGCTGTCGAAGAATCCTTTACCTACTGAATTACCAGAGAAGCGCAAATTTAAACTGCCGAAGATCGAACTAAAGAAATTCAACGGCGAAGCAAAAGAATTTTTGACGTTTTGGAGCCAGTTTTCGAAGATCCATGAAGATCCGACGATTCCAGATGAAGATAAATTCCAGTACCTCCTGCAAGCAGTTGTTCCTCAGTCCAAAGCCGCACGGGTAGTGGAGAGCTTTCCGGCAACGGCGTCGAATTATCCGAAAGCAATCGCCCAGCTTCGAGAGAGGTTTGGAAGAGAAGACTTACTTGTACAGATATACGTCAGAGATCTTCTAAGCATGGTTATGCGTAATGCAAGCAGTGGACGTGTGAAGACGGATCTTCCCACTCTCTACGATGATTTAGAAACCAAGATTAGAGCTTTAGAAAGTCTTGGAAGAACGCAAGAGAAGTATGGTGATTTCTTAACGCCTTTAGTTGAATCCTGCCTGCCCGAAGAAGTATTAATTGCTTGGGAGAGAAACAGAAATTTAAAAGAAGCACCTCAGCCTGATGACCGATGCCTTGAAAATTTGATGAATTTTCTGAAACAAGAAGTGAAAGGAGAAGAGATGGTCGTGTTAGCCCGCACTGGGTTTGGTTCTAATCATATTTCTAAGAAAAAGGATACACTAAATAAAAATTTAGATTTCGCCACCGCAGCTGCGTTAGTAAGTACATCAAATTCTGAGAGCCCAGGTAAGCGCAATTTTAACTGTCTCTTTTGTGAAAAACGGCACCCAACTAAAGAATGTTTTTCTGCTAGAAATATGACATTAGAAGCTAAGAAAATATATATTAATTAAAAGAGGGGCCTGTTTTGGATGTTTCAGATTTGGACACACCTATAAAACATGTCGAGTAAAAAATTCTTGCATGTACTGTAATAAACATCACCATTCTTTAATGTGTCCCAATCGCCAAGAAAAAAGGCGCAAATGAAAAGTCTAAAAGGGACGTAACTGAAACCAGTACATTAACTAATAACTGTAAAATAGAAAATGTTTATTTAATGACTCTAATAGTTAAAATTAAATTTAAGAATGTTGAGCTTAAAGTACGCACATTACTGGATACAGGTTCTCAGCATTCGTATGTCAGTAAAAAATTAGTAGAGAATTTAAATTTAAAACCATTAAGGCAAATTAAATTGAAGCATTCGTTATTCGGTGGAAGAGAAACGCGAACGCAGATTCACGATGTTTATAATTTGTTGATTTCGGCATTAGATGAAACTTTCTCCTTTCAAATCGAAGCACTTTCCGAGAGCAAAATTTGTGGCACAGTGCCAAAAGTGAACGATAGTAAAATTCTTAATGAACTGAAAGATAGAGGCGTCAGTTTGTCTGATTTGGGTTCTTCTGATCGTGAGATCGGTCTGCTTTTGGGAGCAGATATTGTGGGCAGTTTATTTACTAATAAATCTGTTCGGTTGGAGTCAGGGTTATTTTTGATTGACACTTGTTTGGGACATGTGTTAACTGGGAAGCATGAGTCATTTGGAGATAGCAATGATGATGATACTGTTTTGAATGCAATTTCGTTGTATGTTAGTAATTATTCGATAAAAGATTTGTGGTCTTTAGAATCCATAGGTATTTCAGATCCCATTGAAAATAATAGAAAGAATTTAGAACATTCTAGAGTTTTGGAAGAGTTTAAAAATAATGTGAAAATTCTTTCGGACGGTAGATATGAACTTTGTTTACCTTTTAAATCTGATGTGGCCGATTTGCCGACAAATAAAGATTTAACTTGGAAGCGGCATGCATAAAAGGATGTGCCAGCGAGCACAAGATAAAGCATTTTTAGAAGAATATACTACGATTTTCCGGGAATGGGAAGAAATTGAATATAATTGAAAAGGTAACTGATAATATTGAGACGGGACATTTTTTACCTCATCGGCCAGTAATTAAGGACAGTACCACTACAAAAATCAGACCTGTCTTTGACGCGTCAGCCCGAGAAAGTGGTAAATGCTCTTTGAATGACCTTTTGTATAAGGGTCCGAACTTACTAGAAATAATTCCAGAGATACTTGATAGGTTTCGAATTCATCCAATAGGATTATCTTCAGATATTGAGAAAGCATTTCTGATGCTAAGTATAGCCCCTCAACATAGAGATTTCTTGCGGTTTTTTTATCCGTCCGAGAGTGAACAGATTGTTTACCGACATCGCAGAGTAGTATTTGGGTTAAAGTCGAGTCCATTTTTATTGGCAGCCTCAATTACACATTTATTAGATAATGTACCATCTGAATTTGATGCTATAGCACAAAAACTGAAACATTCTTTTTACGTAGATAATTGTGTTTCTGGTGTTGCAAATATTGAGGAGCAGGAAGATTTTATTGTAAATGCAAAAGATATTTTGTCACGGGGTTGCTTTAATTTAAGAAACTGGGAGAGTAATGTAAAATGTAAGTATGTTTCTAATAGTACTGGTGTCACGAAAGTATTGGGAATTTTGTGGGATCTTGATAAGGACACTCTTAAGTGTAATTTAAACTTTAATCTTGTAAGTGAAGATCAGAATTTTACTAAGAGAATCATTTTAGCTACAGTTCACAAAATATTTGATCCAATAGGTCTGTTGAGTCCTGCAATCTTACCACCTAAGCTTTTACTGCAGGAAACGTGGAATTTAAATCTAAAGTGGGATACTCCCTTACCAGATAGTATTCAAATGTCTTTTAAAAGATGGTTTAGAGAAATAGATGCATTAAGAGATATCGAAATCTCACGTTATGTTGAAATAAATGATTCCACTGAGATGCATGTTTTCGTAGATGCGTGCAAAGAGGCATATGCCACCTGTATTTTTTTTAGAACGAGAACCTCTCAAGGGGTAAAAATTTACTTTGTTAGAGCAAAAACCAGAGTTGCACCTTTGAAGAAAGTAACGATCCCTAGGTTAGAGTTAATGGCTTGCTGCATTGGTGCCAGGTTGGCATATTCAGTGAAGCAGGCTTTAAATGCCCATGAGATTAAAACAATATTTTGGAGCGACTCTAGGGTAGCTTTATACTGGTTAAAAGAACGTGGTGATTGGACAGTTTTTGTCTCGAACAGAGTAAAAGAAATAAATAATCTGTTTCCTAATAATGAATGGCGACATGTGCCAGGGAAAATGAATCCCGCTGATCTGATTTCGCGAGGGTGTTCCCCTAAGAAATTGTTAGAATCCTGCTGGTGGAAAGGCCCGGCATGGTTGTTGCAAGCAAGAGACAACTGGCCTGACACCGAAATATTGATAACGGAAACACCCGAAATAACACTTGAAAGGAGAAAGGTTAGGTTATGTAATATTAATTTGTCGGAAGAGAGAGTCCCGTGGTATGCCATTAAATTCTCAAATTTCCATTCAATAGTTAGAATGGTTGCATGGATATTGAGATTTATCATCAGTAATGTAAGATCGCGTCATGATACTAGACGGGGGGGAGAACTTCTAACGAAGGAGATTGAAAATGCTGAAATTCTGCTTATTCGTAATGTGCAAGCTCAATTTTTTCCTAATGAAACCTCTTTCGGAACTTGTGTGTTTTCAAAGATGTGAACGGAATTATCAGAGTTAAAACTCGAATTACTGAACGCATAGATAAGCCTTTCTTCATTTCACCTATTCTTCTTCCTGATAAATGTATCTTTACCAAAAGACTGATTGAATATTTTCACCGAGAAAACTGTCATGCTGGAACCCAGATATTGCTAAGTATATTGCGTGAAAAGTACTGGATTACAAGAGGAAGAAGAGCGATACGTAGTGTTCTGAAGGACTGTATTAAATGTCGACGATACAAAACTAAATCTCTCATCATTCAGAAATTTCTGGGTCACCCTGATCTCCGGACTCAACTGATGTTTCCGATGTATGTGATAGTTCTAAGACTATAAAGACACGAGCTGGTAGAACTGTTAAGATGCCACTAAGACTGAACTTGATAGACTTGAATGTTTTGAGTAGCTATCCAGCAACTCAAAGGGGGGAGGATGTTGGGAATGGCATCACTAAGCCAACGAATCAAAAGCCAGATAGAGACTGACGTCATGGGACGCCAAAGGAAAACGAACAGTTCCGGTTTAGTTAGCTAAGCACGATGTTTGCATGATGTGGCTAGATAGATATTGTAGCTAGATAAATATTTTATATTCTTTTAACTTGTCTTTATGTGTAAATAAATCTTTTTGCTTAAGTTTAAATGAAGTGCTCCATTTATGACAAGATTGCTGTTAATTCATCGGGTAGATGACTTACGAATCCCTTCTGAGCTAGCCATTGTTCGAACGTAACGCCTTACGTAACATAACAATACTCTTCAATTCATTGATTTGGATCTTCCACCAAAAACATACCTTATTCGTCGACTGATGGCGGCCACTTAATACTTTTGCATTTGTTTACACTACTCACTTTGTTTTACCGATGGTCTTCACGAGATGCAAAGTAAAAGGAAGAAACTGCTTTCTAAAACTCTGAAGAAACCAGTGCTTTCTGAAACTCTAATTCATTATATGTTCATATGAGGGGGCGCGAAATCTTAACCTGTCTCCAGGTGCTGTCCTAGCTACGGCTTTGATCATTGACCATCAATGTTATCGTCTTTAAAAAAACGAAAAATTATTTGGCTTTTGATCTGATGGAATACCCAAAAGCTTTGTAAATAAAGCTCACACGTCGTTAAACAGCATAGACATACTTGTAGCCATGTTGAAGGGGTACTTCGTTTGGAATGCGAGACACCCTTGTACTGACAAGTATTTGCAGCAAGACACTGATTACTTATTAATTTATTGCTATTAATAATCTGCTGTTCGTGGTGTTTATGATTTTGTAATTTGCCTTTTTATACGAAATGAAAAAAATACATTTGTTCATCTGGCAAGATCATTCCGCAGTAGCAGCAACGTGATTTGCTGGCAACACTTTCTTGTAGTGTGGGAAAAAAATGAGTTGACAAATATCTGTCTGCAGACGATGTGTATTGCTTATTGCATTATTTTTATTGGTTGTAAGAAAATACTGAAAGTCAGCATTTATCAGTTTTATTAATATTCTAATTGAATATTAAATGTTAGTGGGGTGAGTTACTAAATTATGTAGTTCGGGATTCTTATAACATTTTAAAACCTTATCAGAATTAAAAAACATATGCTGCTGTATGAGAATTGAAATACTATATTAGATGGATTGTAATCTCATTTATTGAAAATATTTTTTTATCCGAAATGTTCTTAGAAGACAATATTATATTATAAGCACACTGACCATCTTCGTGTAGAAATTTAAATATTCTTTCTTAATATCTTCTTGCCGTTTATTTGTATATAATATATGAAATATAAAGACTTTTAGCATTTTTGTGATGACTTATTGCAAGCCTTTGCTGTATTATTGAGTGATTATTACTTCAATTCTTTGGTAAATGTTTTGCTAGCATGTATTTTTGTTCGAGAATAGCTTAAAATTAAGGTACAATGGACATAGAATATCCTCATCATGAATAAAGAGGAGTCATATCTAATCCTGATCATTAAACATAGTTAATAGTGATTTACTTTTTTGATTGAAAAAAAGTGTTTTTTTTTTTCACTGCAGCTGATTTTAACATGGAAAAAAAAAATCACACTACCCTCTTCCCCCAACCAAAAGGACTTTAAATTTAAAATAGGAATAATTATTTTTTAATTCATCTTTTAATCATTAATTTTGTATATGTTTAAACAAGATCGGAATTTTCCGGGTTCCAGAAATAATTTCAAAAATTTAAAATGCATTGAACTGAAATTATAAAATATATTTTTGGTATATGCTTTTATATAGGCTTCTATTTTTATCTTTAGTATTTCTTCCAGAAATAAAACAATGAGCTCTAAACTTAATATCTTTTAACTAGTGAAATCATGTCACAAAAATTTTAGATTCCACTGAGACTGGAATAAATATGTGAGTAATTAGTATGGTATATAAATAGTAATAGTATTTCGCATCAAAGAAACATCTAACAAATTATCTGCTTAAATTTTAAAAATGAGTGTTGTTTTTCTACTTTAATCATGGCTGTTTTAAGAAGATGTATGTGATTAGGAATTCATAAGCTTGTTTCTTAATTGTCAAATAGAAAAGAGAAATATAGTAGAAATTCTATTGATATGGATATTTTAAAGAATTTAACACTTTTTGATAGAATAGTATTTAATGACTTCCTGAATTAATATGTAAGAAGACTAGGTAGACCAGAAAAACTATAATAGAAAATATAACACATAATCACATATATTAAAATAATTAAAAAATGATAATTTCATACTCAAAGAAGACTATTTTCAGTCATATGGAGTAACTGTTATGTTCAAATAGTAATCTGATTTGTGGAATATTACAAGCATTCCTTTGCTGTCAAATTATGGGTATGCAAAGGTCCACATTTCCATGAGTAGTACATTCTATTATTGGAAAGTTATTTTCTTTTTGTGAGAGATGATAAGATGAATCATTACATTTTAAAATCTGAGTATGTTTCGTATCATGTAAATTTGACTTATGTATTATAAAACGGTTGATCTTTACATTATGGTAACTTGGCGAAAATTTGGCAACCAACTCTCCTACAGCAACCCTCTATTTTTTTTTTCCCCCGCCGCCATTTTGTCTTCACGAAGTAAAGACATGTTTCTTTTCTTTTTATCTACTGAACACTTCTTCCAACAGTCTACTAGCCGAATTACACTTATGCTAGAAATTTTATCAAACAAAACTGCTTAATCATGACAAATATTCACTGCAAAATTGGGAAAAAAAGCACAATACCATACTCCTTACGCGTTTTTCAAAATAACACATACACATAAACCATGTACACGCCGACTTATTTTACTTAAAAAAACATCCCAGAATTTCACGAAAATACATGACAATTTTCTCAATCTTTAAACCCGGTAAAAAGAACCTATATGAAATTACCTGATCGTGAAAAAGTATTTACCCTTTACAAATATGAACATTTCCACATATAAAATAAATAAAATATCCAAAAACTTTTACCTCTAAATTATCTATTACATTATACACGTCACCAACGAATTCATACCGCAAGCATTACAAATACTTAGTATCAAATATTTAAATTATTTCCATGCACGTTTACTTCAACTTAAATGTATACCAAATTCCTACAAACATAAAATTCACAAAATAACTATCATTTAATTAAAATATCACTAAACCATGTACACGTCGACTTATTTTTACTTAAAAAAACATCCCAGAATTGCACAAAAATGGCATTGCGCACACTCTTTACTATATCCATGTACACTGCTTTTTTCTCATAAATTAGAAAAATTTCATGAAAATACAAGACAATTTTTCTCAATCTTTAAACCGGGTAAAAAGAACATATATGAAATTACCTGATCGCGAAAAAGTATTTACCCTTTACAAATAAATAAAATATCCAAAAACTTTTACCTCTAAATCATCTATTACATTATACACGTCACCATCGAATTCATACTGCAAGCATTACAAATACTTAGTATCAAATATTTAAATTATTTCCATGCACGTTTACTTCAACTTAAACATATACCAAATTCCTACAAACATAAAATTAACAAAATAACTATCATTTCATTAAAAATATAATTAAATTCAAAAACACTACTTAAAATATAAATGACATTAAATTAATAAAAATTACCTTACAATCCTAATTACTTTAAACTAAATCATTGCTAATAACAATTTTCCCAATAATACCAAATTCCTTTCCACCTTACATTTAGAACAATGCATAAAAATAATATCCTCAAATAATTAAAAATACTAACTTACCTAATCTTCTTCAGAATCTTGATTACGTGGCGGATACACTTTTCTAATTCATTCAATAAAATTATTGAAAGATTTTTTTCTGCGAATTTTTCCTCCATACTTCCTCCGCTAAATAAAAAGCAAACTTCTCTTTATCACAATGCCTAAATACCCATTTCGAATTCACTTTAGTTAGGGCCATGGGATCCAAAAATTAAACAACACTGTTTCACACAACACAGAATAAAGCTAAATAAAAAATTTCCAGATTTTTTCCCGATTTCCCCCCCTTTTCCGATTAAAGAACCGTAATTCGTCCATTAATATCACATGACATATCCCATGATCTCTCATTTCCCTCACGTAAAATAATGCGTAATCGGAACTGAGTACTGCTCACATTATTACCAAAGTCCCAGGTAGTAACCTTTATCGCCTCCAAAATGTCGCCAAACTACCAGTTACCATATTGTAAAGATCAACCTATAAAACCGATGTTATTCATTTAGATGTAATTTATTTACTTTGTAATAACATTTACTAATCATGCATAAATTTATGACGAAATGGTATTTTATTTATTAACACAACCACCTTAGTGCAAATAGGTAATTTTTTTTTTTTTTTTTTTTTTTGGCAGAAAAAAAGGAATGATATAAAACATTTGGTAATTTAAGTTACTTATTAAGTGGAAGTTGACGATTTCAGTGTCATTTCTTAAAAAGATCACCAAACTATTAATATTTATTATAAATTAAAAAATGTTATCAATATATTAAAAGAAAATGCACTTTAGCAATTCAAAATAAAATTTTTGATGAATAAGTCTCTGCTGTGTACATAAGTTCTTCCCATGTGTGCAGTGATCTGTTTTCCCTCCGCCCTCCCCCCCAAAAAAATTGCAGAATTGCACAAACTGAGCATTATGGACAACCTTGCCATTAGGTGTGACTTTTGTGACTGTAGTCGCCCAAGAAATGTTAAAGTATAAAAACTTATGGCGATATAGCTTGATGGAAGAATTGGTATCTGCATGATTCCTCAAGTTGGGGATATTTTTAAAATTTGGTGAATTCTACTAAAGTGGTTGCACTAACATGTAAGTACTAATAAAATTTTCAATTGAATTTTACCATACAGATTGCAACTACCATTTAGATATACTTTTGCCAGCAAACGTTTTACATTGTACAGTAAACTCCTGCTGAACACGGACTTGCGGTTACGCATTTTATTAATTGTCTGCATTTAATTTGTTCAATGCAAGAATTTTGATTATACACATTATGCTGCAGAGCATCATTAAGGGGTGCAATAGCCCTCTTAAATGCCTTGTTTGAAAATTCATTCATTAAAGATGTCAGACATCTCTAATAACTATAAAACCTGGGCTTTTAAAGTTCTTTATAATGCTCCAGGACACAGTGCTTAACATCACAAATCCAAATGTAGAGGTTTTATTCCTTTCGTTAAACATCACCTGAATTCAACCAATGGATCAAGGAATTATAAAAGCATTCAGGCTTATTATATAAGGCATGTTTACATCTGTGCAAATAAAGCACTACACAAAGGAAAATGCAACATTGGAAAATACAAACACACCTATTGGCATTTTGGAAGCAATTCAACACTAGACACTGTATAGAAATAATTAAACATGCATGGGAAGAAGTGAATTCACTGGCATCAGCTCGATCACCGGACAGATATTGTCAACAGTTTAAAATATTTCCATCGATTGAAAATAAAGCCAAAGATATCATATAAACTGCAAAAGCAATAGGCAGGAAAGGATTTTTGGGTATGGAAGAAGGAAAAATCAAAGAATTAGTCAAGAATAATGATCATGAAATGGCAAATGAATTGGATGATCTTAACACCAGCAGACAGTGAAAGCAACAACTGTAAAGAAGATAAAGAGCCTTCACTATAGAAGAAAGTAAATGAGTTGTTAAAAAGTCACAGGAAATGACTAATTGGAACTACTCTGATATGCGCCCTCAAGTCGCCAAATATTTTTGGCGAGAAACTTCACGATGCCATATTACTATCTAAATTTTTTGTCTGCATTTTGAACTTTTAGCCTAAAATGTCTCCAAAAACACGGTTTTCGCACATGCAAAAACTACGTTTGAACACACAATTTAGCTAAAAAGCCGAAACAGAAACAAAAAATTTAGATAGCAAAAACGTAAAGTTTTTAACCAAAAATATTTGACAAGAATCCATGTACACAGCGACATGTTTTAACTTAAAAAAAACATCTACGAATTGCACAATATAGGCAACGAACGAATCTACAAACTACGCACACCTCGCTTTAAATAAATTAACATAACAACAACAAATTTCAAACAATACCATGTACACAGGATCCTGTTTAAATTTTAAAAAAATTCTACGAATTGCACAATTTAGGCAAGGAAGGAATCTACGATCTATGCACTCCTCGCTTTAATAAAATAACATAACAACAATAAATTTCAAATAATACCATGTGCACAGCATTCTGTTTCAACTTTAAAAAACATCTACGAATTGTACAGTCTAGACACTAAACAACAAAATAAACTAAAATAAATTTCAAACAATTTAAAAAAAACAACAATAACGACAGAAATTCATACTCAAGAACCAATGAACATAGCATTATACAAAATAAGAACAAGGATAAATTAAAATGCACTTATCATGAATTAATGCGTTTTCGAATAGCAGAAATATAAATTTCATACTGCCTTTAACATGCCGCCACGTAATCACTATCGTATTTACATGACAGCCAGACACACTATCCAGAAAATTTATACTATGGTTCATAAATAAATAAAATCACAAATCCCTACTTCTATCATGCACTGCCATTAAAAATAATCTCCCAGACCCTCTTTCCACACTTCCAAATACCCACTACCTCTCAACAGGATAGCCACAATCATATTTCCTTTTGCCGAACTTCAGTTCAACAACTACCATTTTATCAATCCCTCCCATCTTCTCAGACACAGAGGCGAACCAACAAGCTCCAGCGAAAGATTTTTCAACGTCAACAGGGTTGCCATAGAACACACAATCGCGCCAAAAACCAGCGCAGAACACATATCGCCACATTTGGTGGGCGTATATTAGAGTTGTACCGACTAATTTTATAGTGGAGATTAATTCAAATGAAGAAAGAAAAGGATACTTTATGAGAGATATTAGGAGATAAGAAACTAAAGCCATAGGCTCCAAGTTGTGGAGGGTTAGAAATGATAACAGTGATTTTGTGACCTTAACTTATGTGTATCACAGGTGAAAGCAGAGTGGGTCAAATTAAGAGACTGCTTTTTATGTCCTTTCTTTTGCAATTGTGGCTGTTTTTTTCAGAGCAGAATCAATGAAAAAACCCTGTATGCCAGTTTATTATCTGATTTGATATGTCTTTATTTTAGAACTACAGTATCTATTACATGTTCACATTATGTATTAAGTTTGTACCTTTAACTATATAGTTTATGATATGTTTTTGTATGGACTAATGAATTTGTTCTTAAAAAAGGAACTGTTAAAATAAAAAGAGATAATATATAGTATTCACAATTTTCTCAGTAAATAATTTAAATAAAATAAATCAGTAAATAAAATATTTAATGCTGATTTTAACTTGTTTATAGTGGCTGGTCCAAACTGATGTAAAAGTGTTTCTGGACAGAAAAGATGGGCATATGTGGAGCTTAAATTGCTGGAGCTGTGATACTTCTCCGTTTTTGAGAGAAATTGTAATTCTAGTTGAAGCCCCAAATAAGATTAGCTTGTATATTTTACCTAACATTTTCAAACCAATTTACTTTTATTATTATTTAACTATTTTTGGTACTTTTCCGTTTCGCCGGTGCAAATCTCGCCAAGCAGACTTTATTGGCGACAACATACAGTATACACATAAAAAATATTAAAAAAATATTAGTTCTAAGAATTCTTTTAAAAAAAAAGGCATAAACATTTTTAATATCGCTTAAAATTTTATAAAAAGCCAATAAATAAAGACAATAAATTTGTAAAAAGACATTAATTTAAGAATTTACTATGCTTTCATGGTTCACACATCCTGATTAGCCGGTTCATATATCATGTGACCCCAAGCGATCTCATCTCACGTAAAACTACTCTACAAAAAATCTAATGCTCTCAGTAATTATCTACATTCATTTCAAGTTAAATCTTAATTTGGAACACAAGTTTAAATGCAAGAAATTTTCAATTCGTAAGAATAGCTTACTCAGAAATTATGTAAAACTGCAGTGCTTTGCTTCGCTAATGCTTCTCATTAGAATGGATGAATTTAACCCTTGACTTCACCTTTTCTTATTTTCGGCTTCGGATAAGCGCTGTGATTGCATCCCAATTGACTTAATTACCGAAAATGGCCTTAGACATAAACTGAACTATCTGAAAAAATTCTATGTATGTGCCAGTATTGAAAGAGACAATCAAGTCTGATAAAGGAAATGGCGGCGACTTGTTTCGAAAATGAGGCGTAAAAGGTTACCAGCGAGGATATTTCCGTTTGGCATCAGTTGTGCCATTATTGGCGACTTTATCGCTTGCGCCGGAAAAACGGAAAAGTACCCTATTTTTCATTAATTTGGCATTATTTATTAATTTTTTAATCACTGCATATTTTATTTTATCTTAATTGTTAATTAATAATTATTATTTTTGTTTACACTTTTCTTGATGGCATTCAAGAAATTCTTTAGGGTTCAAGATGTTCTTGAGGGCTGTAGCATTTTTAATTTTAGAAATTAAACCCTCCTCATATGCTTTAACATTTGCTATAATTATAATAAAAAAGACCTAAATTTAGTGAAATAATAATATTTTCAAAGAGTGTAAACTAACATTAAGTAAGTAGTTTTACATTGAAGTTCCAAAATAATTTGGGATGCTATTTGGAATACGTAGAAACATCCCATTTCTTATAAGTAATTTTATGCGATACCTTGTAAATTGAGACTAATATCTGAGAAAGCTTAACCTTTTTGCGACCGCACACCTTTGTTTAAGACGCTCGTGCGGGATGGAAGGGAATCGAAGGCAGTCACCGTACAGGACAGAGATTTTGCATCTCTAAGCCTAGTTTTATTTAAAAAAATCAGAAAAAAGAAGTTTCGCTTCTAGCATCACAATTTTTGGTATCGTTTTAGATTATTACTTGAGCTCTTATATATATTAAAATTAGCACTTAATAACATTTTTTTCCCTTTATTTTACATGAAAATATACTAAAAAATTGTTTATCTTGTAAAATAATTTTTGGAAGCGCCATTCAAATTTTCCAAGTTTTAATTTAAATGATAAAACAACACAATAAAGGCTATTACAGTAGAAGTAAGAATTTAAAATGAAGACTGAGTGTGGTAAATCTCGAAGCACGGAGAAGTATCACTTTCTAACTGTCAGAAAAGTATCACTTTATAACTCTTTAGAAATGAATCTCACTCTCATCTCTCATCTCATTAAAGGTTCATTTTGACCATACGAGGATATTCTGCCTCTGATAATAGCGCCTTCCTGCCATAATAGACTGAGGTGAGGCTTTCTGAAATAAAAGAGAAGAAACGAAAATATATCTGAAGGCATGCAAATGTAACAATACTCTCCACTACTAACCCTAATAGACCATACATTAAAGGAAAAAAGAATAAAAAAAGGATTGATATAAATCAACCATGAATGTTTTCATTAGCACACAGGGTTTAAAGAGCTCACCTCTGTTTACGCTTTCCCTCCCCCACCCTCGCAACATCTGATGAGTAAAATACTAAAGTCAAACAGAATATATCAAACTCAAGGTCAGGAACCTAAAACTGTGTTCATTCAAAAATGGACATAGGAGCTATCTAGTGGCCTTCCGAAAAACGTTCCAGCTTAAAATGCGTATACGCATCACCCGTCCTCTGAATGCAATCTCTAGTGATGCGTGGATGGGACACCCGGCTGTAAGAGACATTCTTAGGGAATGCATATATGGGACGCCCGTTCTGAAAGGGTTAAAGTATATGAGTGGGTTTTAAAGTATTAGGTCTTTATGATTTAAGCAATCTTGAACAAAAAATAATATATTAGGAGCTTGTGAAATGGATCATAGCATTTTGTATGTACAGAGTTCGTATTTTCACATTAGATCACCTGAAACATCAGTTTGATATAGATATTCTGGTAAAATATCAGATGTATAGCAATGATATGAATGTTGAAAGACTATGGATCTCAAAAATTATTCAAGACAACAAACATTATACTACTGCTGCAAATAACACCACAAATCAATTTTGGAGCCTCTAGTAATAACAATATGAAGTTTGTACAAAGCTTCCTGCATGATATGGACTTAAATAAACTGCTGGCCATTAAAATTGCAACACCATGAAGAAGAGCAAATACAAAAAATATATTTAATGTATGTAAACAGTTTGCTTTGAAAACAAAATGATTAAATTTGTAAGCAGTTTGGGGGTTTACAGAAATGCAAAATTAGTAGAAACAGCTGCCATACGTGGCAGCTAAAATGACCCTTAACCAGTTAGGCATAGAGTTGAACTGGGCTTGGATGACAAAACGAGCAACTCATTCCATGCTGCTTCAAGTCTATGCCACACTTCATCAACTGTATTAGCTAGAGAGGGATGGTGGGCCAGTCTCTCAGCAACCAATGGCCAGATGTTTTCAATGGGTAACAGATCTGGAGACCATGCAGGCCAGGGCAGCTATCGGACACCATGTGTGACGATTGGTTCAGTGCTTGCTAGGTGTTCAAACTGACCATGTGTGACGAGGAAGGTCAGAACACGACATGCAACTGTGGTCTTGCATTATCTTGTTGGAACATGGTGTTTGAGGACCTCGAAGATAGGCACAACTACCGAACGTAAGTTGTCAGAAATGTATCGATTTGCGTTCAAATTACCATCAATTTGAACTGCAGATGTGTGTGTCGTGTACCCAATGGCTGCCCAAACCACCACACCAGGTGCAGGGCCCCTATGTTGATATCAAATGCAAGCAAGCGACATGTGGTCTCCTTAGAGCTTCCAGATATGGCCATCAAAATACTGCACACAAAACTGGGACTTATCTGAAAAGACGACAGTATGCCACTCTTGTATCCAGCTTTGTCGTTCGATGCACCAGAGTTGCCATCTCTCTCTCTATGCTGCAATGCCAAGGGAAGCTGAAGTAATCGTCTTGCTCACAGTCCACACTGCTGCAAACATGCCTATTTCCTGACTAATGGTCCATGATGTGGTTGTACGGTTTTGCAGGGCTGACCTCATAATATGTCTGTCCTCTTGGGCGTTATTCATAGAAGGGCGTTGAGATCCTGCATGCGGTTCAGTATGATCCTCAGCAACCCTCTGATTCCATATTTGCATGGCAGTGGTTGGATGTCAACCAGTCTGCTGGGCGATATCACAGAATGATAATCCACACTCTCGATAGGCAACAATCCCACCTGTATCGAATTCCGACACTTGCTGGTAAGCATTTCTTCTTATTCGAGGCATAACACGGTATTCTGAGCAACTCCGACGATGCAAAGCGTTTTCCAAATGAGAAATCCACTACACAGCTTTTCTTTTATGCAGTGCTTCAGATGTCGTTTCTCCCTCCTGTCTCATCTAAATGCGCTAATCATTGTCATATCCCAAGCTCTTCTTCCTTTCATGTGATTTTGATTTTCCTCAGATCATTCCTTCCTAGTGTTGCAATTTTAATGGCCAGCAGTATATTTGATGCCCATTTTAAATGCTACTGCTTATTTCATGACACAGAGTTTTGCACCTTGTCTGCTCTTGGGAACTTTGCCAGTGAACAATGAAAGTATGGAAGCAAGTGGCCAAATTGACAAGCCACATTTCTAGTTCATTTAGATAGGTGGAAGACTATAGATGAAGAATACCCTATGAAGTATTCAGTCTAGCAGCATCTTAGCTAGGGATGTCACTAGCTGGCAATGGTTGTGTAATATTGTGTGCTCAGCTGATATGAATTGGGACCTTTCATATATTGGCAACCTTTTCTCACTTCTCATGTTACTGCTGTTGATAAATTTGAAATCATTCATTGCTCCCAACCAGATGTATACATATAGGATTAAAATTTGTACTGCTATATTCACCAAATTTAGTTTCATTGACAACTCTGTTTCATTCAACAACTGTTTCAATTTACTTGTCCAACACGAACATTTCAGTACTGTCAGGAAAATGACACAATGTCAGTTCTTAGAGCTGCATTTTGGAATTGAGGCCAAAACTAGGTTTTCCAAAAGCCACAAGTTCATATTTACATCATTTTGTTGAAAGGAATGGAATAGGTTTCAAATGGAAAGAAATGACTGATTCTAAACAGTCATTCAATGACAGTTTGCCTTCAGCATATGATGATGTGTTGAAGACAATGCAGAATTTTGTGATTTATGTGCAAAATTTTATTTTTCCTAATTAAGCTTTATGGGGTAAAAACAACGCTTTTTCAGTTTCTCCAATTCTTCCACAAAAACCTTCTTACGAAAGCAAACCTAGATCAGTTGTACTCAAATTTTATCTTGAAATGTAAAGATATTGTCATCTTCTAAGCTGTGACTGTCATCAGATTTTTTATTAGAAATTCCCAAAGCTTCCAGTTGTCATCAATTTCTTATGAATTCAGGCATCAGATAAACTACGAAGTTATTTTTAACTTGTATCAAATTCTGTATGATATTAAACGTTTC